AGTAATGTATGTATTTAGGTGTGTGCGTGTGTGTATGTTAATGTATGTATTTAGGTGTGTGCGTGTGTGTGTATAATAATGTATGTATTTAGGTGTGTGCGTGTGTGTGTATATTAATGTATGTATTTAGGTGTGTGCATGTATGTGTGTATATTAATGTATGTATTTAGGTGTGTGCATGTGTGTGTATGTGCATGTATGTGTGTATATTAATGTATGTATTTAGATGTGTGTGTGTGTAGTATGTGTGTATGTATGTATCTAACAACAATTAAAAAAAAGAGTTCATGAATTTGAAAAAGAGTAAGAAGGGTTAGATGGGAATGTTCAGAGGGAAGAAAGGAAAAAGTAAAATGATATAATTTCAAAAAAATCATTTGTAAATAACTAAAACTAAACGAAGACAAGCCGTACACTGGAAGAAAGTCCTTGGAAATGTCTTACTTGGTGAAGGATGTGTCTAATGAGAATGTATAGAGAATCTTCAAAACTCAGCATGAGAGTGCAGGCAACGTGTTTCCAAGGCGCAACAGATGTGAACAGAGAGTTCACAGAGCTGTGAGACGGGAAAGGAACGCGTGAGGGAATGGGCACGCGTGTTTCCAAGGGGCAACAGACGTGAACGGAGACTTCACAGAACAGACATGAACAGACTTCACAGAGCAGACGTGAACAGAGACTTCACAGAGCAGACATGAACAGAGACTTCACAGAGCAGACGTGAACGGAGACTTCACAGAACAGAGGTGAACGGAGACTTCACAGAGCAGACATGAACAGACTTCACAGAGCAGACGTGAACGGAGACTTCACAGAGCCGTGAGCCGGGAAAGGAACGCGTGAGTGAATGGGCGTGAGGACAACGCCAATTCCAACCATTGCACACTGTTATGACACACCTACTAAAAAGACAACAGGAAAGAACGAGCCTGGCAGACGAGGGCAAACCTGTAGGGACCCTGGCCTCTTACACACACGTGCTACTGCAGATGGAAAGCGAGTGCACAGCTTTGGAAGTCAGTTGCCCAGCTTCTGAAGAACTCCCAGTCTAGCCACTCATCTCTCGGGGCTTCACTCCAGAGAACTAAAAGCATGCGTGTACACTAAGACTTGACCATTTACGCTCACCTTCTTCATGACAGCCCCAACTGAAACAAACCACACATCTGTCCTCAGGGAGCATGTAAGCAAAGGTGACATAGTGGTACACTACTCAGAAACAAAGAAGGAATAACTCACTGATGCACACAAAATAGGTGTGATGGTTAGTTTTGTTTTGTTTTGTTTTTAAATATTTATTTCTTTATACGAATCCCCTATCTGCCTGTATGACTTTATGTCAGAAGAGGGCATCAGATTCCACTATAGACAGTTGTGAGCCACCATGTGGGTGCTGGGAATTGAACTCAGGACCTCTAAAGGAGCAGCCAGTGCTCTCAACCACTGAGCCGTCTCTTCTGCCCGTGATGGTTGGTTTTAACCGGCAATTGAACACAACCTAAAACAACCTGGGAAGTGGATTTCCATGAGGGATTTTTCTAGCGCAGGTTGTCCTTGAGGGCTTGTTTTGATTATGTTAGTTGATGTGGGAAAACCCAGCCCACTGTGGTAACACCAGTTCCTAGTCATGGAACCCTGAACTATATAAGAAGAGAAATCAAGTTGAGCACAAGCAAGCAAGCAAGCAGGTGAGTGAACATGCATGTGAGTGTGCATGTGAGTGTATCCATGTGAATGTGTGCATGAGTGTGCATGTCAGTGTGCATGTGTGTGTGTGACTATGCATGTGAGTGTGTGCATGTGAGTGTGCATGTGAGTGTGTACATGTGAATGTGCACATGAGTGTGCATGTGAGTGTGTGCATGTGACTTACATGTGAGTGTGTGCATGTGAGTTGCATATGGGTGTGCATATGAGTGTGCATGCATTCATTTCTCTCTGCTCTTGACTATGGATATGATGTGACAGCTGCTTTCAAGTTGCTACAACCTTGATTTCCCTTCTGTGAGGGACTATAATCTGGAAAGGTGAGCTGAAATAAAGTTTCTCCCCTTAGCTGATTTTTATCTCTTAATTTTTATCGTGTTTTATTACAGCAAGTGAATGGGTAACCCCCAGAATAATTAATATGACTGGGAAAGCTAACTTCAGAGAAGAACACACAAAGAGTATGATTTTGTTTCTCTCACTGTCTAGAATAAGCAAACAAATATGCAATGACACAAAGCACATTTGAGGCTCACTTGGAATTGGAGGGGCAGAGTGGACAGAAGAGAGGAATTGTAAAGAGATGGAAGAAACTTTGGGAGTGATTATCTCTCTATGATCTTAGTTCTACTATTGGTGTCCTAAGGATATATGTCAAAACTGTTTAATTTATATGTCCTAAAGATGTGCAATTTATTAAAACTTGGTTATATTTCAATTGAGCTTTAACAAAGAAGTTATTTAAAGAATTAGAAATTTTGCAATGATACCACTGAACAATGCATCCACCTGTGGCACAGACAGACAAAAGTTATTAAAGGCAGAAGAATGCAAGTCAGGCCTGGTGGTGCACACTGTAAGCCCACACTCAGGAGGCTGAGGCAAGAGTATCACCAGGGCAGGCCAGCCTGGGCTACACAATGAGGCCCTGTTTCCAACAAAACAACAACAGTAACAAAAAACAACAAACAAACCAAACAAACCCAGAGAGATGGCTCAGCTGGGAAAGCACTTGTCACACAAACATGAAGACTTGAGCCATACATATACCCGAGCTGTATTTCCATAACCCACACACAAAACCAAAAAACAAACAGGCATGATAGCATGCACTTTCAAACCCAGCTCTGGGAAGCAGACCCAACCAGATTCCTGGGCAAAGTATAGGCCAATGAGAGACCCTGCCTCAAGAAAAAAAAATGTACCTGAAAACAAACCTAAGTTGTTTCCTGGCCTTCAGGAAACACATGTGCCTGGCCTACAGGAACACATGTGCATGTGCACACACAAGAACATGACTACACATGTATATCTACACACACACACAAAAGTGGAAGAGAAAGTCTAAGATACATCACTTTCATGTTGTCAGAAAAAGAGAAGAAGGTAAGACAGAAACCATGCTTGAGAAATGATGGCTGAGATTTTTCTAGGAAGATCATCAAAGCCCAGTGGATTCTGGGATCCATAAAAAGCAACATTTAACTTCAAACATCACAGTAAAATGATGGAACATAAATGCTAAAATAAGAGTTTTAGCAGTGACAGGAGATAAAACCATTCCACAGACAATGCACAGCTAGCAGTGGACTTCTCAACCAAAAGAAGAAACTAAAGATGGTGGATTGATGCCTTGAAAGAAAAAGAGTATTTACCTAGAGTGCAGAATCCAGAAGAAATACTCCCTATCACCTGAATAAAATGCAGATATTTCAAACTGATGACAAACAGGGAAGACTTCATCTCTGCTAGAATTCTGAAGAGTGCACTTTGGGCAGAAGAAAATATCACAAGCATGGTCCAAAATGAATCAAGGTATGAAAAATTAGAATGGATCAACTCCATAGGGGATACATACTTGGCTTTAAAAACTACATGCTTGACAGAAGAATGCATATACAACATTTGACAGATAAAGAATCCATACTATATAGGTTCTCACAGGATCCTATAAATTACATTCATCATTTAAAACATTAAAATCAATTAACATTAATAAATATTAAAGAAGGGTCAACCTCACTCACAGAATGTAACAACTCATAGTAAATGCCAGGAAGTGATTTGTAGGTAAATAGGTAGGTTGGTAATTAGAGAGAAAGAGAGAGAATACATGATATAAATGATTGAAAGATACATGAATAAATAAATGACTGGTATGACTGGATGGATGGATGGATGTGGTGACTGATATATACATGGATTGATAAGTAGATAGATGGATGGATAGATGAGCTACTGCTCCTCACCATGCCTGCCTGCTTGCTGCCATGCTCCCCATCAAGATGGTCACTAACCCTAACTATCTGGAGCCATGATCCCCAAGATAAGTACTTTCTTTTGTAAGCTATCTTGGTTATGGTGCTTTATCAAGCAATTAAAAAGTAAGACAAGACCATTGCTTAGAACTTCCTTGTTCCCCTTTGCCCCAACTCCACATATTCACCTTTAAGGCACTTACAGAGCAGTTCCCTGACAGAGATTTCCTCTCTTGACTTCCACAAGGTTAACTATTAAGATCATCAAATTCAAGTGTCTAGGGTGGTAGGCATATAGCACATTTGAGAAACATAGATGAATATCCAATGCTGGAGAGATGTGGGAACTGGGACATTCACAAAGCATAGTTCTCACCCTACCAAGGTGGCTATTACTCTTCTCTGGCCACCTGTGGCCACTCAAGAGAGCAAGTCCTGTGTCCTCAGAACTTATGATAACTTAAGAGGAGTGGGAGACACAATGTGGAATTTCTATGATATGGCTGTTATTTTTAGATAGACCCCTTGCTTGATGAACTTGTCCCAAGATCTGCTGCTGAGCTTTTAAGGCCTCTTGAAAGGTGTCCCTGATATTTGTCTAGAAGATAGTGCCTCTGAATGTTCAGAGGAGTATCCCCAAGTCTTGAAATTATTGAGAGATTCTCTTCACTTCTCCGAATTTTTAATTTTTTCTTCAAAAAACACATTTGCCCACAAATATTAAAATGTATTAAAAGCAATAATTAATAAATATTCTCTCAGAACTAAAATGAAATGGACATATTTTTTTACCTGGTTACCTCAAATATTTACTGTGTTTATGCCTTCGAAAGACACCAGTAACAGTTACATGGTCAGTGGGATCATTCTGGGTGGGCTATGGGCAAGAGAGGCTGATCTGGAGCTATAGAACTCCAGACCAAAGGACTAGGAGCCTCCCTCTGGGGGTGAGCTGCCATTTGAATGCCACATTCAGTTCCCGGGTCCCCGGTATCAGGGAAGCACGGAAGGGGAAGAGAATGCCACATATCTTACCTCTTGGAATGAAGCCTCAGTTTCTTCTGCTTGCTGTTCTCATGAGATATCTTCACCCTCCTATGGCACAGTCCTTTCTTCCTCTGTGGACTGGACACCTGATCCTGGGCTTTTGTCCCTGAGACTGTTGGGTAGGGAAGCTGAAAATACCAGGCATGTTGTCATCATGTCACTCAAAGCCCTCATGTTGGGGAACACCATGATGGATTCTCTCTCTAGAAGCAAGATGCCTCTCTATGGAAATTAAGGCACCAAAACGTTGTTTAACCAAATGGCCTGAGCCTGTGAGATAGTCTTACTGAGCAGCTAGTAGTATGCCACACGGAACCTTCCAGAACCATGCCTAGACTGGACCACCAGTAGAACTGCCAGACCTTTGATGTGAGCAGAGAGTTACCTAGCGCCATAGCCCATATTGCCCACCTTAGGAATCCCCACAATTTGGAGGGAGGAGATATAAGCCAGATTTTGGATCCCGACCCCCAGCTCCTGGGAATGGCTTGCAAAGCTCAGGACCCAGCCTTGTCTTTGCCCCATAAAGCTCACTTAGGACTGGGGCCTCGGTGCTCCCCTCAGCTCCCTGACCCAAGCCATCTCCTAACAGGATAAGTCTTGAAAGCTTTCAAGATGGGGCCGCAAACTCCTCCTTGAACTTTCGCCACATGGAGCTTATCGTCGCTGCTAAGGGCCTCAGAGCCGCGCCTGAGTCTGGTCACTGTGATTAGAAGGGAGTGATTTCTCCAGCACACTTAAGATAATGAGCTTCCCACCCACTCAAAGTGTTTTACTCACTTCTTTTCGGTTTTGTTCCACTTTGGTTTTCTGTCTGGAGTCTATATGTCAACATGGGTCTCTAGTTTCTGGAGAAACGGCTCAGTAGTTAAGAGCACTTGTGCTCTTGCAAAGGACCAAAATTAGAGTTGCAGTGCCAACAAGTGACTCACAAATTGCCTGCAACTCTAGCTCTAAAGGAGCTGATGACCTGTAAATCACCTGCCCCATATACATAATTGAAAATAAAATATTTTTTAAACTATAGTTTGTTTCTTAGATGACCTAGAGAGTTGTGGGCAGCGTGATTTTTTTTTTTTTTTTTTTGGTTTGTTTTTTGGCCTGTTACCAGGAATAAAATGAAGTTTTATGTCTAATTACAAATATCTTACCTAGATGCTCTAGTGAAATATTTCTTTGTATATATGTGTGTGGTGTGTGCATGTGAGAGTATGTGTGTGTGCGCATGTGTGTGTGTGCATGTGAGTGTGTGTGGGGGGGGTATGTGCAGGCCTCTATGTGTGTGCATGTACATGTGTGAGTGTGCATATGTGTGTGTATGTGCACATGTGTGAGAGAGTATGTGTGTGGGGTGTGTGTGCATGTCTCTATGTGTGTGCATGTACATGTGTGAGTGTGTGCACATGTGAGTGTGTGTGTGCACATGTGAGAGAGAGAGTGTGTGTATGTGTGTGTGTGTGTGTGTGTGTGCGCGCGGTGTACATGCATGTGGAGGCCAGAGAGCAGTCTTGGGTGTACTCTCTCAGGAGTCATCCAGCTTGTGTTTTGGGTCTCGCACTGCCTAGGACCCTCTGCCGAGGCTAATCTAAGCCAACCTCAGTGATCTCCCTGTCTCCAGCTCCCGGCTACTGGGATTGGAAAGGCCTGCCATCACATTTGGTTTTTTAAATGTGGGTCCTCAAACTTGTGAGGTGAGCACTTCAATTCAGCCATGACCCAGGCCCTAGTACAATAGTTCTTTACCATTCTATGTTTATGAATTTGTTGAGTTCTGTTCATATCTAGGGCCTTTACTTCTTCCCACCCATGTATGACAGCCCTAGCCTCCTTTGGAAATAGAAAATATCATAACGGTGGTAATATCCACAGGGATGGACCCATTAGTCCTCTCTCCCTCTCTCTCTCCCTCTCCATTTCTCTCTCTCTCCCTCTTCCTCTCCCTCCCTCTCTCCCTCCCTCTCTCCCTCTCCCTCTTCCTCTCCCTCCCTCTCTCCCTCCCTCTCTCCCTCTCCCTCTTCCTCTCTCTCCCTCTCTCTCTCTCTCTCTCCCTCTCCTCCCCATTTACCTCCTTCTGTCCACCACCGCTGCCTCGCTCTCATGCTCCCCAAGTCCCCAGGCTTAACTGGTGTTACCTCAGGCGCCTTTGCAGTCCCTGCTCCTCCTCTTCCTCCGTGGCTTGTCCTGGCCTTTCCTCCACTGCTCTTGGGTGCTGCCTGGAGGCTTCTATCAGGGGCATATGAAGCCAGGCGCCCAGGAGCTGCCCTCTGCTGCTCCGCAGGCAGAGGCAAGCTGCAACTCAAGCAACACCATGTCAGCTGGGGTTCAGCCTTAAGGGAGGGGAAGGAGCTTGGGGCCTCGGAGCTCCTGGGGGGCCCTACGTGGCATGACAAGGCCAGTTTCTGCGGGCCTACGGACCCTTGGGGCCTTGTGAACGGTGTGAGGAGATAATGTGCTTGGGAGGGAAAGCAGGCAGGCAGCCCTTCCTCGGTCTCTGAAGCAGGACCTTCCAGGGCAATCTTAGGCGTGCCCAGCTTCCGGGATGATGTCCAAGGGTTCAAGAGATTCCCATACGTTCTAGCTCTTGTGGGTGCGCTGTCTGTGCAGAGGCCATGGGGGGCACGGTCCTCGCCCACGGCATCCCGGGTCATGTGACTGCCACATGGGTGAGCAGGTGGAACGGAGGCTGTCTCCTGGGTGGTGCCGGTGTTGGGGTCAGGACAGTGCTCAGCCATGGGGGCGCTGCTGTTGGTCCTGTCTTGTTTCTGTCTTCCCATCTGTGCCTCTTCTCTTCCGTCCTTTGGCTTGGAACAGCTAGGGTCCTCTGGGGGACCACCCGCCTCACCAGGTGGCTGGAGCATTCCCAGCTCTGATCCAGCAAGAAGCAGCTGTTCTCCAGGCGGTGCCCTTGTACACAGAGAATCTCGGCCTTTCCCGGGCCCTGGAGCAACATGTGTTGAGGGGGTCTCTCCCTGAGGCAGCCTGAGGAGGTACCTGGGAGCATAGGACCCACCTGATACAGCATCAGGGACACCAGGATCCCGGGGCTGGGCGGGCAGCAGCAGAGAGTGGAGCTCGGGAGTCCTAGGTACAGAAGGCAACGTGGGATCCTTGTCCCCTAGCCCGGGCCATCTCAGGACAATAGCAGAAACTGCTGAGGAGGCACCACAGGACTCCAGAGCCACGGTCACGTGCTGGATAATGTCATTTGAGCTGCTCACAACTTCCTCAGAGTTACTGTCTTGTTTCTGGGCTAGCTGGGAAACAGCCCGCACAGAACAGCCTGGGGTCTCAGCTTCCAGAGGCCTCGGCTGCTCCGGATGGCCCAGCCTTTCCATCTTCAGTCTCTTTCTCTCCAAGGGTAACTTGTCTTCTGCAGGCTGGGGACCCTCAGACATACCGCTGGGCTGTCTGAGGACGGTTTGGTCCCCAGGGCAGGTGTCGTTTATAACCTCATGACTGGAGTCTGGCAAAGCCAACTCAGGGGCTTCTAAGTCTTTTCCTTGGACGGGTGCGGGTTCTGGAGGCAGCTGGCATCCCAGGTCCGATTTCCTGCGTGGAGGGAGCAGAGGGCTCTTGCTGCTCAGACAGAGAGTTTCTGTGCTGCCAAGGGTAGGAGATGACTTGGCTCTGGCCACTGCCTTCAGTTGCTTGGGAAACTCCGAAGAGTCCTCCAGAGATGCCCGATTTCCCCACGATCCTAGCTTAGCCCCTGCTGCAGTGTCCCCAAGGATGGGGATCTTATTGTCTTGAGAGAGGCCTTCACCCGCAGTCCCTACTACCTCTTCCTGGGGAGGCAGGTCCAGTTCCAACCCCTGGCTCTGCTTCACCTCCCTGAGTTTCTGTCCTTCCTGCTGGTTGGTCTTCATTTTCTGGTATATTCTCTTGAAGGTCTCATTCCCATACACCTGCCATTTCTCCTGGGAGAACATCTTTTGCTTCTTCTGGCCATACCTCTTACTGGCTCTGCCCTTGCACAGCGCCCCATCCTTTACCGCGGCTCTCTTTCCATCTAGGTCCTCGGCAATAGCTGAAGGGTCCCCGGTAGGGGTGCATGGCAGGTCCTCCACAGCAGCCTGTCTCACCAGGGCCCGAGGGTGACCACTGGGGATGCTTGTCAAGGTCAGTCCTGGGCAGTCTCCCAGCCGGGCAGGGGTCAGCCTGGGACTCAAGGCTTTCTGAATACTGGGAAAGGCATCCTGTGGGTCCCGTGGCTCTGGCCACAACTTGGAACCCTCAATGAAAGGCAGTGAGTTGCTTCTGGTGACAGGGACACACTCCACGGTGGTAGAGAGCTGTGTGGGAACAGAGTGGAAGAAGAGGGGTCTGGTCTTCTGCAAGGGTGTGAAGGTAGAGTGGGCTGGGCTAAGGGCGGCCCTCCTGCGGCTGGGGTCCAGTGCCCGGATGTCAAACTGGAAGGAATCCTTGTAGGTATATGGCATGGGCAGGTCAATGCTGCCCTGTTTGGACAGCACAGTCTTGCGGGGTCGCACGTGGTCCAGTTGGGGGTCGTCTACCACTGCCTGGTTATGGGAGATGAGCTGGGCAATGCGTTCCTCCAGTCTCTTCTTCTCTAGCTCTAGGCTGGCGCCCGGTGTTCCCTGTTCTGCTTTGTTGCCTGCAGACCCACAGCCAGGACCTCCTTCCCCCTCAGACTCTGCACTGTGCTCCGACAGGCTGTGCAAGGGGCTCGAGGCAGCGGGAGGCTGCTCCACGCTGTCCGAGCGCGACAGGTAGCCCGAATCTGTACTTTCGCACTTTCTCAGCGGGCCCTCCAAGGCCTTGGAGTCCCATGGCTTCTCTGAGCATGTCTCCTGCTGTCTCTGCAAGGAGGGTGGCTTTGGTTCTGGCACCTTCCGCCTAGGCTGCGGGCTGGCTAGTGGAAACTCGGGCGACGTCGTATGGGCCTGATCCTCAGGGGTCTCCCTGTTCCTAGCAGCAAGGGTAGCATGGGTACCCGGGGAAAGAGGGTTCTCGGGAGTTCCTTCGTCTCCCCGGCTATCCACTGAGGCAGTCTCTCCAGGCCTGTCGCCCTCCTCCAGAAGGCTGCTGCCACCCCCCTCAGACTCCAAGGACAGCCGAGAGTTGTTGAGATGTGTCTGCGTCCGCCTGTGTTTATATAGGTTGCTCTGGGTCTTAAAGGCGATGCCACAGGTGGTGCACGGGAAAGGCCTCTCCCCTGTGTGGGATCGGATGTGTTTCTCCAGCACGCTGGGTTTCAAGCAGTCCCGGCCACAGTGCGGGCATAGGTATTTACCAGCGTTCTTCACCCTGCCTGTGCTGACCAGTGTGGACCCCACGCCCGGGGAGAGTACAGGAAGTGTGCCCACGATGTTCACGGTTAGGGCCGGGGTGGCTGGCTTGCCCATCTGGGTGGGACTGGGCGCGTCAGGCTGCAGCAAGGGGCTGAGGATGAAGGGTACACCGGCCCCCTCCAGGCTTCCTGCCACCCGGGGTGCGTGTGGCTGGAGGCCCCCAGGGGATACTGTGTGGTACAGTGGGACAGGCAAGGCCTTCAGGAAGACAGTTCGGGGCAGACCCTGCTCTGGTGGCAGGGTGACCCGTCCCAGGGTCAGGCGAGGTGAGGCCTGCCCACCGAGGCCCCCTAGGACACCAGGCGCAGGAGCTGACTGGTCCCTGGCAGGCGGGATAGAGTGGGTAGGTTCCGTAGCCTCCATTCCTCATCATCTGTGTGGCCCAAGATTTATGTCAACCTGGGAATGAGAAACACACTTTACTATGGGTGTCTTTCTTCTCCCTGTCAGAAGGGGTATACTACACCCGATGAGCCTCAACGACCCCACAGTACTCTTGTCCCTATGTTAAGAAAGGCTGGTGTGGTGTGGCCAAACTGTAATCCTAGCTACTCAAAAGACTGAGGCAGGAGGGTTACAAGGTCTAGCCCCCACCTCAAAATAAAACACACAAAAAAGGGCTGGGTATGTAGCTCAGTGAGAGAGCTCTTGCCTGGCAAATGGGCTCTTCATTGGATCCACCCTTCTCTCTCTCTCTCTCTCTCTCTCTCTCTCTCTCTCTCTCTCACACACACACACACACACACACTGCACACACAGAAGTCACACACATCCACAGTTAAGCACAGTGTCTACTCCAGCAGATTCAAATCCCGTCCTTGCCTACAATGACATTTGTAGATCTGTGAAATGCCCAGAGCCAGGCCCTTCTCACCATGAGGCTCTGAGCCTTCAGCCAGGAGGACAACAGTAGAAATCAGAGCTGGCCTTGGTGGGGGACTACCTACATTAGGAAACTAAAATGCAGGACTGTAAGACAAACTTGAATTTCAGAAAGATGATGCATTATTCTTTCAACCCATGAAGTGTGACCCAAATAGTTCATGATGAATTCTCACAGTCTAGCTTCTCCCCAAACCCAATGGTCATGTGTATGCTAAAGCATTGCGATCTCACTGAGTCCAAGTGTCATCTGGAACACTGTACTTGGCCTTAGGACACCGTAAGGAGCTCTCATCAGACCCCCTATTCAAAGCCCATCACATTCTGCCACCACTAGGTCAGGAGGAGAAGATAAACTAATGTCAGGCACATCCTGCTCTTCAAATCATGAAGGGAACATCAGACACTGGAGGGAAATGTTAGGTAAGCCGGTGACACCCACCCCCACCTGAGCTTCTGTGAACACAGTACCACCCTCCTGAGAGCCCTCAAGGAAACTCCAAACAGTCTTCTGAAAGCTGTCTACACGCGGACAGTTATGATGCTGGGGGTGACTGGGCCAGTCTGAGCAAATGCCTGCTTGAGAAAGCCGATGCTAGAGTTTCCAGGAAGTTTGCAAGCCAGCCAGTAGACATAGCCTTGCTTAAAATCTAATTGTGCCAGATGTGAGCTACATGCCTGTTGCATGCCTGTGAGCTGCATACCTGCTTCATGCCTGTGAGCCCAGCATCTGGGGGGCTGAAGCAGGAAGCCATGACTTCTGAGCCAGCCTGGGCTAAATAGCAAAGCCCTGTTTTAAAAGTGGAGAAAAGGGGAAATGATATAAATATTCTATGAAATAAATTATGTTGAAAGACAATACAACTACATATATTCTTTAAAAACAAACCCTGTTATTGTTGTGTTTGCATGTGTGCGCCATAACCAAAGTCAGCCTCTGCTTTATGCCATCGGCCAAAGAGTAATTCAAAATCAGATCACAGACATAAATGATGGGAGATGTCATTCTGTATATGTTTCTCATACTGGTTAATGAATAAAGCACTGTTGGCCAATAGGAAAGGAAGATAGGAGGGACTAGGAGACAAGGAGGAAAGAGGAAGGAGGAAGGAGGAGCCAAGATGGAGAGTCTGGAGAAGGCAGAACCGCCAGCTGCCTCTCCCTGGTAAGACCACGTGGAAATACATAGAAATAGGTTAATAATTAAGACAGAGCTAGCAGATAAGAAACAAGTAATGGGCCAACAGAATTATATCTAATACAGAGTCTCAGTGTGTTAATTGGGGCTGTTGTGGTGGCGGGACCAGACCAGCAGCGGCGGGCAGAAAAACCTTACTCCTTACACATAAATGACAGATCAAAAGCTGTAAGACTCTTAGAAGACATGGATCAAGATGTGGACTTTGCACTTGGCAATGGCTCCCAGATCCTGGGAGCACAGGCAGCAAAAGTAAAAGTGGGGGAAACTTGGCTCATTAAAACATCTGTGCATCATGACACTATCGATCAAGAAAGTGAAAAGACACAGAGAGAGAGAGAGAGAGAGAGAGAGAGAGAGAGAGAGAGAAGAAGGTGATGCCTCAGTTAGGGGAGTGTCTGCCATGTAGGCAGGAAGACCTGAGTATGGATCCCCAGGCCTCTGTGAAAGCTGGTTGCGGTGGAGTATGCCTGCAATCCCAGTGCTGGGAAAAGGCAGAGCCAGGCAGATGCAGCCATTCCAGTCAAATCACTGAGCTCCAGATTAGCGAGAGGCTTTTTGCAAATAATAAGGCTGAGGGGCCAGCAACATCATCCAGAAGGTGAAGGTGCTTGCTGTCCTAAGCTCACGGTTGTCTTCTGCACTCTGTGTGTACACTGTGGTATATGCACACAAATCCCCATTATACACACACTCACATAATAATGATAATGATAATAATAATAATAACAATAACAATTTTTAAACTTCAAAATAATAAAAAATAAGTCAGTGAGAGGTTGAGGAAGATGCCCAGGGTTGACCTCTAACCTTCACACGCATGCATACATGTCATCACGGACACACACATACATGCACAGAATTGTATAGATCAAATGAAGCCATTTTCAAATGAGCAGGATTTACAAGATGGAATTTCATTCCCGGGGCCCACCTGTGGAAGGAAAGAACTGACTACCACAGATAGTTCCCAAATAGTCCCCTGACCTCCGTACACACACCAAGCCACACTTACATGTCCACACATACACAAATAGATAAATTAATTAAATGGACAAAGGCACTGAAGAGGCTGGCCTAAGCTATCTAGGAAGACCTTGTCTCAAAGCAAGTTTCGAAGAGAGAAAACCCAGCATGATGACTTCCCATTCACTAGCACTGGACAGTAAGAATAATAGACTAGAAATAACAAATCTTGGTAAGGGACTTGGAGGGTGAGAAATCCTCACACACTGCTGGAAGGAGTCACCCATGTGGCCTCCTCCGCAGAACACAATTCGGTAGTTGTGTGGCTGTTTCCTCTGAATTCAAACCCTCTCTCCTGCAGGGAGGAAGTAGGCTCCTTGGATTCGGAGCTGCTGAAGTCACTAGGGCTCTCTCTAAAGTTATGCACAGTACCAGGTGCTGGGAGAAGAGACTCTGATGGAGCTGCCTGATTGCTGTGCATGAGCTCCAGGGAGGCAGTCTTCAGCACTCATTACCCATCACCCATGCCGCCGTGGCCTTTCAGATGGCCTGGCTGCCTTTGAGTCACTAAGCTACCCTAACGTTGTAACTTGGTTCACCAAGTTTTGCTTTGTTTTGTTCTGTTTTGTTTGAGATCGGGTCTTCAGTCTGACTTTGAATATATAGCAATGCCCTTGCCTTAGCCTCGTGATTGCCGGGATTACAGGCATGTGCCACCATGCCCAACTTAATTCATTTTCTTTCTTGCTTCCTTCCTTTGTTCATATTAAGGTCTTGCTGTGTAGTCCAGGCTGGCCTGGAATTCACCATCCCCTGTTGCAGCTCTCTGGACACTGGGATTACAAGTATGTGGGTGCCACCAGGGCTGGCAGACGAAATCATTTATGTGAAAACACACAGTGCTCTCTGTAGCTGTATGTCACCCCATCCGTTCCAACGTGGGCAACCAAGTCGGCTCCATGGGGAACAGCGGCAAGTCTGGGACCCACTGCCTCCCACTGCCCTGGGTGATGAGTACCACAGCAGGCTCTGGTGCCCCTCCTGCCTAGAGGGCAAGGCAGCCCCGGTTGTCTCTGAAATGGTGTCTGAGGGTTGATGTGTGAGAGGCTACCGTTGAAGTCCTTGTGGCAGAATCAGAGTCAGGATGTGTAAGTTCTGAGCCCTCATCCTAAGGCAGGAAGGGTAATGAGCAGGGCCTGAGCTGCTAACACTTCTCTGATAGTCCCAGTGGGCGGGTGGGGAGGAAGTGGAAGGGAGGGGACCAGAAGGAAGGGAGGAGTACCTCAGCCCGCCTCCTGGGGAGTTGAGGGAGAGGTAAGTGGGACCCCATGCCAGGCAGTCTGCAAAGAGCAGCCCCAGCAGCAAGAGTCCTGATGGGAGGGAACACAGCCCACAGAGTGCTCTGCTGGGGATTAACCCACAGACCCCACGTCCTCCCACAGAGGGATGCAGCTCTGGAGGAGGGAGCAGAAAAGATGCTCTGAAGTGAGAATCGCAGCAGGTACCCGGGAAGCTGAAGCCCAGTGACAGGTGGCTCCAGCAAACACAAGCCCATTACCAGGGAGAACAAAATCACAGCCAGAACTGACAGTGGGTAGGAGGCTCAGCTCTTTGAAACAGTGTAAACCCCCTCCCCTCCCTTCTGGCTCTGCTCTCCCAAGCCTGATCTGGAATGATAGCTGATCCTGGCTGGGGCCAAGCAACTGATACATACCCTCCTCCTGGGAGACCCTCAGTCTGGTCCCAGCAAACTTCTACAAGACGTAACTGATTTTGAATGAGGGGCCAGGGGCGCTGCCCCTGTTGGGCTATAGTGAAATCAGGGGCATGGGACGGCAAGGAAGAGCAGACCCAGATTCCCCGGCCACCCTGTTGTCATCTCGAGGGCTGGCACACAGGAAACAGGATCCCCACCCCTCTGTGTACCTCTGCCCACAGAGCGTTGTGTTCTCCACTACAAACATGCGGAATGACGATCTTCAAAAACAAAAACAAACCCTCAGTGGGCCGGGCCAGAGAGGAAACATGAAACCCCAGATGGGTCCGCAAAACCCACATTCAAGGTGAGATGCAAGAGAGGCCGAGGGGAAGCCCACTGAGTTGCTACACGAGTTGGAAGGAACTGGATGCAGAGGCAGTGGCTTCTGAGACATGTTACCTAATTTCAGTCCATCATACGCCACAGTCATCCACTTGACCACCGGGGCAGAACTCCAGGCTTTGATATCTCTCCATTCGTGCATGAATCCCCTTTGTGGCTGGAAAACTCCTTTTAAGAAGGAGCGGCATACACAAGAGCATGAACATGTTATGTTAC